CAGTGCTGCACTTTAACCCGCTTCGCCACCAGGGAGGGCCTCTTCCATCTATTTTTAAGCACAGACTATGCATTTCTTTAAGGAGAGGGAGACAGTTGTCCTTGTATATAGAATAAGGACAGCAAGAAGTCTGCACATAGCTCCTGCTTGATGGATATTAATTGTTCAATACAGGTTAAAGGAACCTGCCCTATCACCTATGTTTCGATCACTGTGACTATCAGCCTATCAAATCAGATATCATGATAATTGATTAGATCTGGGTTGGGTGGAGGAACTTTCTTAATAGCTGATTGACTGAAAAATCCATCACAAAACAATACAGTCAACGTTCTAGTCACAGTTTATATATTCTCTGATGGGAGTTTTTTTTTTTTTTTCTTAAAAGATTTATTTATTTAGGACCCTCCCTGGTGGCACAGCGGGTTAAAGCACAGCACTAAGAAGCTAAAGCCACTGCAACATGAGTCCGATCCCCACCTGCCCTGAAGGTGACCCACATGGTCAGGCCTTTCCTGACCTGCCTGCTGCAGTGTCCCTCGTTGATCTGCCTGTTCTGCTCCCCACTCTGTCTCTGGTGAATCCTCTCACCGCCCCTGTACTTCTGGCCTGTATGCCAGTTCTGTATGCATAAATAAATAAATCTTTTTATTTTTTTTTAAAGATTTATTTGTGCATATAGAACTGGGGTACAGGACAGAGGTGCAGGGGGGTGAGAGGATTCACCAGAGACAGAATGGGGAGCAGAACAGGCAGATCAACGATGTACACTGCTGAGGAGAGCAGTGGGCAGGTCAGGAGAGGTCTGCCACGCCATGTCACCGCTGGGGCAGGCGGGCATTGAACTCATGCTGAAGTGTCTTTAGCTTCTTAGTGCTGTGCTTTAACCTGCTATGCCACCAGGGAAGGCCGGATGGTTTTTTTGGTTGTTTTTTTTTTTTAACAAAAGTTTATTTTTACATCATTTTGTACATTTTTTTTTCCATCTCAATTGTAATCCCTGTGGGTTTCCCATCACCATAATCCCATGCATTTCCCTCCCCACCCCCCCACCCCCGTTTTTGATCCCATTCCCCACTCCACCCCTGCAAAATGT